CCTCTTTCAAAGGTGGGGTGGGTTTGGCAACATTTTTAAATTCATTTATGTATTTGGACCACCAACTATTTTCACTCCAAAAGATGGAAGGATAGCAATAGTGCCCATGTTTTTGTTTTTTGTTTTTCTAATTTTTAAAATTTCATTTCTAATTGACTTATTGATGTGCTGCCTGTGGTATTGTTGTTGCTACTGCTATTGTTATTGTTCTTGTACCCCTTTATGAATTTGAATAACAGATATGCTTCTGTAATATTAAAATGGATATGTCGAGAAGAGCTAAACTGTAATTGCCAGATGACGGTAATAGTTAAACTAAATGTGATTAATTTTGAAGTGAAAATTCTCAATTTAACTTGGATGCAACGTAACAGATACGGTAATAGTTAAGAACTCAATATGATTGATTTTGAAGTGAAAATTCTTAATTTAATTTAGATGCAAAATTGCCCGATTACAAGATAATAAACTTGTTTAGGTTGTCCATAATTGACCTATTGAAACTAAAAATGTTAATAGTCTTTTTTATTGATCGGCTCCAATCAAAAAGATCAATAAGCTTTCTTTATAATTACCAAGTTATCAACTCAATTAACTTGGTTGGGTTGTACTTGCCTTTCCACTATTGCTACAACTAAAATTGGTTTGGTGAAGTTAGCGAAGTTTTCACAAAACCATCCAATCCAAGCATGCCACTTACATGTCCAATGCCAACTAATTATCTATATGTTTTGCACATGCTAAATTAAAGCAGCTTAACTACACTCAACATGCTTTGAAATATCATGTTATGTGCCTTAGCTTGCATGCTTAGTAATATCATTGTGCTATACTAAGAACCATGCCCACAACTTAATATATGGAATATACTAATGTTTTAAGTTTTAACCAATCAGTCAAATTATTTTGTGGACAAGAGTTTAAAAATACACCATTTACATACTGAATGTTCATAACTTTACATACTAAATGTTCACAATTTACATACTAAATGTTTACAATTTAAACTATGAATATTCAGTAGGTAAATTGTGTATTTTAGACATAAGTTCACCTTGCAAGGTGGATTCGGATTCATGGTATAATTGTTGATTGACATCATATATGGGCTAAACAAATAACAATGCCTAAACTTTTGCCACAAACTATCGTTTGTATTAGGTACATTGACATAGCCCAAACCAAAGCCTTGTGCACCACATGTACATGCACATCAAACTTCAACAACTCATTTTTTCCCTAACTCTTATAATGCTTCACAACCTCCGATCCCATGGTATTCAAATCAACTTCTCTACTATGTAAAATAAAAAATAAAAAATATTGCAATAAAAAAATAAAGGATGGCCTGACACAATTCATATACGTGATCGTACCATGTTGAATAAGTATTGTAACATGAAAGTTGGGCCTGGATATGCCCTTGTAAACCTAACTCTATTAAAATATAAAGTTAGAGGAGACCTAATTCAAGTTGTTATCTTTATTAAAGTATAAAGTTGGATTTTTATTAAAATATAAATTAAAGTGAGAAGAGACCTAACACAAGTTGATAAAGTTGGAGGAGAGAGAAACATGTGAGCCTATCATAAGTTGACATCTCTTTTCCAAATGATAATAGTATCTTTATATAAAACACTATTCTGTTTACATCGTCTACAAGCAAAGCTTCAAACTTTTTCCGTAGAGTTACTTCTCCGAAGGAGATTTTCACTACCTTTATGGCTACATGTAACTTTTTACTTCTCTTCTCTCTATATTTACACTTCAACTATCTCTATATAGATATATCACATACCAATTTTCGCTAATCTCCAACTTTTCTCCAATTTAATCAAACAAATTAAAACTTGTTATTTGATTTGAATAGACTGATGAATTGCATTTGAATTACTCTGTTTCCTCATTATCACTTTATTCGAAACTCCGGACGTATAGTACCTCTATTTTCTTGGTTTCAGTTTTTCTTTTGGAATTTGTTTTATAATGTCGATAATTTAATTTGCTGATCGGCTGGTTCTGAGTTTTAACAGTGAAGCTAGAGGCCTCTACTCTGACGATAACAAGCCTGAATTTGGGTTCCGCGAGACCCAAATTGACTACATATATAGGCATTTGGTGGTGTCAAAATTCAGTCTTTGGTTCATCAGTATAATGGTCTTCTAATATCCTCCAAGCCAAAGAAACCATTGGTGGGGTGTCGAGCTTCCTCTTTAATTTGCATTGTAATTACTTGTCTGATGCCATGAAAATTTCTTTAATTTCTGCCCAGCCTTTAAAAGTGGCATGATTTTGATAGATCAGGAGGATTATTCCTTTTTCTATTCAACTACATATTGCTCTGCTATTCAACTGCAATCAAAAAATAAAACTCAACACATTGTCTCCTTTCCTTTTTCTTTATAGCAGAGGTCTCCACCAAACATTAACAAAAGAACCCAACACACTGCACATGACATCACTTAAACCAAAACAAGTAAGACAAAATATATATATATATATATTTCGTATGCGAACAAAAAAAAAGAAACAAACAAACACTACAACTTTGACTTCTGCAAATATGGCTGAAGTTTGAATACTTACAAGTACGAGTTGTATTAAACCCATTAATCCTCCTACTAGTCATTGCTTTTGAATGGCGTCCTCTGCTCTGCAATGGCGTCATTTTCTTCAACGAGTTGAGTTTTGGAAGGCTAGGGTTGAAGATTTTGTGGTGTAAATGGCAGACGGGAGGAAGGAGGAAGAAATTGGGTAAATATATTGAGTGGTATGTGAAATTTCAAAAATGTCAATGGTCTAAACGGTGTTTAGTAGGGTTAAATGATAGAAGGACTAAATTGACTAATGTAAGAAAGATTAAGGGATCGAATCTGTCCAAATTAAAAACTAGGAACTACAAACGCGCTAATTGAGGGACAAAAAATGTAATTCCCTCCCAGCACGTTTGGTTGGTTCACGGAATGAATTTGGAAAGAATGGAAATGTTATTCCACAGGGAATGGAATAGGTAATGAATAGAATAGGAATTGTATTCTGCTGTTTATTTGGCTGAAGAAATAGACTTTAGTAATTGTATTCTAGTGTTTGGTTGGTTAAAGAAATAGAAATGGAATAGGTTTTAAATACATAAACATAAATACCCTTATACAAAATAATAATAATAATAATAATAATAATAAATATGATTATGATATACTGAATGTTATATATATATATATATATATATATATATATATATATATATATATATATATTTATTTATTTATTTATATACATGTATATGCATGTGTGTGAGAGAGAGAATAACAACAACAATAATAATAATTATTATTATTATTATTATAATAATAATAATAATAATAATAATAATTATTATTATTATTATTATTATTATTATTATTATACAAATACATATTTATATTTATTTTTTCACTTATCCCACATCGATTGGAGAAGTAAGGAATGGAGCCTTGAGGCTCCTATAAAAGGAGCCTCAAGGCTCCATAGTTTCAATTGCAATGCTCATCCGCTAGGCAAGCTTGCAATGCCCATTCGCTAGGCATGCAGATGGGCAGACTACTTAATTTAGGAGCTAAGGCTCCATAATTAAGAAGTTTTATACAGTTAATTTTTTTATCTACATATATATATATACACACACACACACACATTTTGCAATTGACATTTTGAGAAAAGAAAAGTATTTCTTTTCTCAAAATGTCAATTGCAAAATGTGTGTGTGTATATATAACGACGTGCGTTTTTAATAAAACGACGTCGTTTTTGCATCCGTATGCACCATGCATGGTGCATACGGATACACAGTATAATTTGCCTCCCCTTGATAAGGTAATAGCTCATTCCTATTTCCTAGACATGTTATTCCCATGACAAAATGATCCAACCAAACGATGGAATATGTCTATTCGAAGGAATGTTATTTCATTCCTGACCTATTCCATGAACCAAACATGCCACCATATTTTCATACATCGTCATAACAAATTCAAATCCATAACTACGAAGCTCAATTCATACAATTTTTTTTTAGTATATTGAAAATTCATATTTAATGTATTAAATTTTTATTATTTGAAAGTTAATTTTTAGTATATTAACAAAAAAAAAAAACTTTTAATATGCTAAAAATGAAAATTTGAACATTTATCCCAATATAATTTACCAAAAGATCCCTTTATGCCTTGGGCAACACACTATTTTTTATTTTAAAGAATTTTACATTTTTTATAATAATATTTTACATTATTTTTTATTTTAATTTCAATTTCTATATCAAACAATTTTGATTACTAAAACATTTTTACATTTTATAGAAAAACCTATAATTTATGTTACATTTTGGTTTTGGAAGCGTATTCGGCGAGTTTGATGTAATTCATCTATGTTTAAAGTTCAAATAAATTGCCAAACAAGATTTGCTCTTTAACCAAGTGGATGAAAAAATTAAAAACTAACCGAAAAAATCGTATACCATACAAGGTCATATACATTATAGGTTTCTAAGTTTTTATTTTTTGGCTTAGACAAGTGGAATCTATCAATCTAATGCATAGTTGACACTTATGATTGCAAATCAAGAATTTCATGGTACAAAACAAGGAAGAATAATGTTAGTTGTAGCTAACCCTTTGCTTATATTATTTAAAATTTATGTACTTCATCCTTGTAGCACCGATTAATTAGCGAATAATCAATAAATATAAATAGCAATGGCACATACCATATCATCACTATAATGAAAAAAGTATATACTATATAGTCTATATTCTTTTAAAATGACCAAACCAATTGTCTATTCATATTTTTATTTTGTTATTTTTCTAGTTTCAATCAATTTAATTAATTTAGGACTTTACTAAAAATCAGTTGAAAAATATTATTACTAAAAATAAGATGTTACCTAAAGTTATAAACCAATTAAACCGGAAAAATAATTTTAAAACAATATGAAGAGACAAAAATGCCCTTACTAAAAATATAAAAAGTGATGAGAATGACTAAAAATGTCCAAAAAATAATAGTCTAGGGATATTAATTGGCAAATACGATAGTCTGAGACTAAATTTGGAATTGCCACCAAAGACAAGGGACCTCTGGTGGAATTAACTCTTCAAAAAAAAATTGATAGATACCCTTTTGCAGCAAAGAGAGCTCCGGGTGTAGATTTTCTTGGTACATATATATGATGCTGCTGTAGATCGACGCCTCAGGCAGAGTCAGTTTTTTGTGCTTCAGAGGTACTTTCTGGCGAGAGCTCTAACCTTTGTATCAAAATGAGATGATGTAATTCGAGATCCAGTTAAGTAGAGGGGATTAAGCAGAGTCTGCAAATTCCAATTTAAAGATCAGTCAGTGCAGTAGCAACTAGCAAGAACCGTTCATGTTACTAACACTCAGATAAACTGTTCAAACCTTGTTAGTGTTGCTGACATGTATCATTAATGTCAATAGAGTTTATACATAGACATGCTTTGATTGATAATGAGAACTAGGTTGCAGAATGAGGATCTATAGGAGAAATGGAAACCAGAGTGTTTTCCCAGGCCTTTTATATGTATCCTATGCTGGCAAAGTCATCTCTAACAACATTTCAAACTTTTTATTTGTCAATTTGTCATCATAATATTCAAAAAGAAAAATTTCACTTTTGGTTCTATAACTATTGGAGTGTTGTTAATTGCAGTCCACGAGTTTCAAAACTATCAATTTAATACTGTAACTATGCGACTTTTCTCAATTCCAGTCACTCCGACCAAATTACCGGCAAAAAGTTGCCGGAAAATTTTAATGGGTAAAATAATAGTGATGGAGAAGAAAGAGAAGAGATGATGTAAATGACTAAATTGCCCTCATTATTTTACCTATTAAAATTTTCCGGCAACTTTTCACAGGCAATTTGGCCCGAGTGACTGAAATTGAGAAAAATTGCATAGTTACGGTATTAAATTGATAGTTTTGAAACTCGTGGACTACAATTAACAACACCTCAATATTCATAGGACCAAAAGTGAAATTTTCTCTATTAAAAAATATTCCTTTATAGAAGACGAAAATTTTCATGAATAGAAATTAAAGTTCTCAACGCGTTTTGAAGATAATTCATTCCTCCTAAATGAATGAAGGAATAACTACTCCAGACTCCAGTCCGCGTACCTCATCAAAGTTACTGTGTGCCCAAGTCACGATTGAATAATTCAGAATTTTTGTAAAACTGGAGAGTCCAGAGTCAATGGTACATGTTTAGGAGTAGTTGAGTAGGACTTTAGGTTTTAACTTTTGTGTTTCAAATTTTCATCATCACCAAAGAAATCTATATTTTAAAATTTGGAGCATATAATGTGTTTCCAGAATAAAAAACAGATTTTGGAAATGCATTTCCAATTTTTTAGCTAATTAAGAAATGGCCTGGTATTTTTCCAAAAACTTTTGTTTTATTAAGAAAAAGCACAGAAACGTTTCCAAACAAGTTTCAAATACGAAATGCTTCTGAATCAGGGTAGCTCAGAATTGAAAATTGTCTCCTTGAATATTATATGCATGTGTTTTAGTAAGCCTGTCCATATCTAAAGAAAATTTCAAACAATTAAAATCCTAAAAAGACCTCTGAACATCAAAATGGGAATATATTCCCAAAATGACAGGCAACATTCTTAGCATTTATTTTATTAGCTACATGGCTACACCTACCTATAAAAGTTGTTTCATTTAAAAGAAGTTTCAGCGTAGATCTATCAGTCTGATGTGGAGTCTCACAACAAGGTCCAATCAAGTTTGGATACAACAGAAACTTATCATGGGCAAAGATAGGATAATGCAGGTTAACATGCAGAAGAAAAACATGGAAGAGAAGAAAATTCTTCTTGAGAAGCAGAAAGAACATACCTTTATATAAAGCTCATGAACTTCTTGGAAGAAGCTTTTGATCCCATCATCATTGCGAGAATCGTGAAGCAGCATCAGTCGTGTATGTATACTTGATTAGTCAAAGAAAACACGAAATATTTTCCAAGAAGCTTATAAGATAGAAATTAAGGCACTAACAGCAAACAGAAAGTGATGTCCAAGGATAAATCCATATTATTGCACATATGCTTTATTTATAGCAAATGTGATTAGAGAATAAAATGTACTATGTTGACAGGACAGGAATTAAATTGGTGTGACTATCAGCACAGGTAGGAACAAAGAAAAATAAACTAAAAAAACAGATGTTTGGCTTAAGGACAAAAATAATACTTACTAGTGAACTTTACCAGACACTAGAAGCTATAATGTTTAGATAAAAAGTTTACTGGCTTTTACCCAAATATCTACATGGTTAATGAAGATAATAAATTTTGCAATATAAAACCACCTTGCTTATGTGCTACTGTACATAAGTTCAAAATTCAATATTTTGCATCCATCCAGTTAATTGGATGATATGTAGGATATGACCTGCAGTGACATATACTGAAACTGCCAAATCATTGAACCGGTCAATTGCCTTCAGGAACCTAAATGAAAAAGGTAGAGAAGAAGAGTGTTTTCAGATAAAGTCAGGGACGCATAAGAAAAACTCTAAAATGATATAACGCATATGCAACATATACAGAGATTCTGGGGATTGGAATCTCACATTGCACTGGTAGTCCACGCCAGATCCTGCACAATGTCTAATGCGGCATGTAATATGAACTGGTGCTGATGAGAAGCATCCTCTTTCTGACATGTAATTGTTTAGTAAATAAGGTAACAAAATACTTGCTCAGAGTACATGTCTGCGATAGATATGGACCCTTACTAATGTGAAAGACGCCCAAACACAGACAGTAATGAAAAAACCGAAAACAATACTATCAAATACAGGGATAGAAGCCAATCAAAGATATGACTTTAACTTGAAGTAAAATGTATATCAGAGCACTTGTACCCTCACTTTTATCTCATTCTACAAGAGAATAGTGTTATTGTCAAAATCAAAATTTAAACCCGGTGCCGTTTTAGATCAAATGTACTCCACTACTTACCCCCTAAACACCAACTAATTTTTTTTCTTTCATAATAAAGATCAAACTTGATATAAAACGAATATCTTTACTTTGCACTTGCAGTAATTTTCATAGCCAATTCGATTCTAAACCACATTACCAACTACAGTGATCACGTAATTGCCTAGGAATTTGAAGTGTTCCTTTTTTATTTTCCTATAGTGCAGATCATAGAGCATTTTCAACAAACAATCATGCATTTTCTCAAACCGATCCGGGTTATATAATAGTGATTCAGAACTCTACAAATCAAACACAAAGCATCAAATTTCGAATTAAAAATGCAAAATCCTGCATAGGAAAAAAAGTTCATACTTTAGGTGCAGTTCCAACTTCGGCTTCGTAGATGGGAATGTCGTTCCTGCTTACAATCATAAAACACGCCGTAGTCGCCATTCCTTTCGTCCCCTCGAATCCCCAAACCTTAAAAATAAAAATAAATTAACAAAGAGGGGAAGAAGAATCGGTAATTGATTAATCGCGATGGTGAACTTTGACAATAAGTTGCAATACAAAAAATGAGAGAATCCGCAGAGAGATCCGAACCTGTAACTCAGCAACTGTCAGTTTACCAATTACCAGGATACAAACTTAAAATCAGACACAGTGACAACGACGCCGTATAGATGCGGGCAGTAGTAACTCTATTTGCTAGTACTAGTATTTATCCGTTATCCCTATGCGATGCACAGATAAAATTTAAGTGACTTTATTGTTGATAATGTTTTAAAAATGATAAAATTAAACATTAATCAAGAAATTAAAATTTATTCTGAAATGTATTTTTTTTAGCAATATTAAATTGATTGTTATATTAAACATCAAAATATACTATTAGCATTGGTAGGATATATCCCGACCGACATAAGTTGGGCTCATCTTGATTGTTTGGGCAGGATCTTTAGGTCGGGTGTCGTTCAGACAAGGCGGTCGGACCCGATCGATGGACTTCCCAACCGATGTTATTTCCCGGTTATAGTGTCTTTACTTTATAAAGAGACAAAGATGTTAGGGAGAGGCACGTGGCGATGCTATGCGTTGACAGAGAAGGCTTGCCGGGTGAAGACGAGTGGACGTTACGTGGGTTACATGCCGGTAGGCCGGAGGTTTGTCTCCGGCCAAAGCCTATAAATACCCACGGCGGCTACAGTGAGTGGGATTTTTTTGGACGATCAATAGGTTATTTACAGAGCAGCCCGACAGCAGTCAGTCGGCCCTCGGGTTAACCATTTAGATTGTATTAGGTCACCTTTTGATCAATAAAATCCCCTTCTATTATTATTACTTGTTCTCATTCAGTACTTTGACCGCATACACGTGGATATTAGTACTATCATTTTCGCGCCGTCTGTGGGGACCCGGTACGAAAAGTTGTCGTAGACGCGTATCAGATCCCAATCGTCACCATGTATCCATTCATGTATCAAGCACCGGAGGACGAGGAAACTAGCTCCTCCGACCACAACTACACACAGCATCAGGGTCAGACAATTGACCTGAACCTGAATCTTTCACCTCCTCGATCGGCGGCTCCCAACCCGATCAATTACATACAGCCAATGTATCCAACGCCCGGTCAACAATACCCGTTCCCAACAAACTACCCATATCCAGTACCACCTCCTCAGTATGGTTGTTGGCCCGGAACACCTATGTATTATCCACCGGCCGGTTATCCGCCTTACATGCCTGCGTACACGGCTCCAGCTTCTGCTCCCCCGAACCAACCGGCCATGTCGACCGAGCCCGAGCTTCAGCCCGGTCCCCGGACTAGGCGCTCGGCTCGCTCAAGGTTGGGATCGTAGGGGGCCGAGGTCATGGAGGAACCACGGCAGGAAACACATGCACAGGCGGTAGAAGAGCCAGAGTTAGAAGCCAATCGAGCGAGTGCGTTCGAGCAACTCCGACCAGCAATGCGGCAAAGATTGGGACCACAGGACCCAGACAGGCGTTCGGTCGATTCTCCCATGCAAGTGGCCAGTCAGGTAGGGTCGTCAAGACATAGCGGGCCTCAAGCGCATCGACGACGCCGGGCTCGGGAGCCAGCTCGTACGGTCGAGCAAGACGAGACCCGAGGAATGTTGAACGACCTCCGTGCAGAGTTCACCCGATGGCAGAACGAGCACGCCTTGAGGCCTCCTTCCGATCATACCGCTTCATTATTTCGGACACCCTTCACGGCGGAGATCATGGCTCAACCTTACCCCCTCGACCTGCGAATCCCTGGAAACAAAGAGTATGACGGCCGGACAGACCCGGAGGTCCACATCAACACTTATTATGGAAATATGCTTATGATGGGTGTAACTGATGCTGTGATGTGCCGGGTTTTTTACTCGACGCTTTCTGGTCGGGCGGCCGAGTGGTTCAGAACGTTACAACCAGGGTCCATTTCTGATTTCGCTAGTTTGGCGACAAAATTCACTCGAAAGTTCGTAACTTCCAAAGTCATCCGGAAACCTTACATGTACCTTGAGAAGGCTAAGCAACTAGAAGGAGAAAGCTTGACCGATTTCTTAGTTAAGTGGAAGGCGGCAGTGGGAGAGGTCGAACCCATGGACGACCTAACAGTCATTCACATGCTACACATTTCTCTCCGAGCCGGCTATCTGTACCAGGATTTTATACTCCACCCGCCTGCAACTTATGAAGAAGCGCTCCGTAGAGTGACGGATTATGCCAATGCTGGAGAGGCAAATGCCGTCAAACGCTCCCAAGAGGTCGGATCTTCCCGGAAACCCTCCGGTCGATCGGACAATTGGTCGGGTGAAGACCATCCCCGACCCCGAGCCCGGCCGGGAGATTTCACGGCATTAAACCGATCGGCGGCGGAGGTCATGCAATATGCCCAGTCCTGCAACCTCATTCGTTTAATTCATCCTGGACCAGATGGGAAGGATAAGTCGAAACATTGCGCTTATCATCGATGTGCTGGCATGACACGGAGGAGTGCACAAACTTGAAACAGTTGCTAGAGGACCTGCTCCAACTGGGAAAGTTGGATACGTGTGTTGGGAAGCGAGAAGAGAATAAAAGAACAGCCGAGAGAAAAAGATCACAGACGCTCTAATCATCCTGATCGATCGGACCAGGACCGGCGGGATCCCGATCCACCGTCGAGTGGTCGGCAAACATCAAAGCCGACTATTCATGTTATATTCGGGGGCTTGGAAGATGCTTCCCAAGCTCGAAACCCTTGCCCGATCGCGATCGTCGACTCCCGGGAGATTGGCAAGCGGCAGAAAATGGAGCCAATTACCTTTTATCTTGAAGACCAGCCTGAGAGCGGAGATACTGGACTGGAAGCGCTCGTTGTTACGATCGACATCATGTGAGTCGACGTACAAAGGGTGATGGTGGATACCGGGAGTAGCGTCAATGTTCTTTATTTGGACGTTTTCGAGAAATTGAAACTCGATCGACGGGAGCTGATTCCGGTCGGTGTACCCTTGTCGGGATTTACCGGGGCTACCATTCGCCCCGAAGGAAAAATCGTCCTCCCGGTCGAGCTAGGAACTCCGCCTAAGTCAGTCAAGACGGAGATGGAATTTGTGGTGGTAAATCTTCACTGCGTCCACAACGTCATCTTAGGCCTAAGTCAGTCAAGACGGAGAATGTGCATTGACTTCACCGATCTGAATAAAGCGTGCCCGTTGGATCCCTACCCCCTACCGAGCATTCATCAGATGGTCGATGAAACGGCCGGGGCCGAGCTTATGAGCTTCATGGATGCTTTCAAGGGTTATCATCAGATCATGATGAACCATGAAGACGAGAACAAAACGGCGTTCGTCACGCCCGATGGTTTATATTGCTACCGGGTTATGCCGTTCGGCCTACGCAATGCCGGAGCGACATATCAGCGCATGATCAACATGCTCTTTGAGGACCTGCTAGGCCGGACCATGGAAGCTTATATTGACGATATGCTGGTGAAGAGTCGGGACCGAGCGGATCACACTCGGGATCTCCGACAGTGCTTTCAGATTACGCGAACATACCAGCTATGTTTGAACCCGACCAAGTGCACGTTCGCTGTTAAGACCAGGAAATTCCTAGGATATATGATGACGAAGAGGGGGATTGAGCCAAATCCCGCCAAAGTTAAAGCAATCGTCGACATGCAACCACCCACAACTGTCCGGGAGGTCTAACAATTGACCAGGAGATTGGCAGCCTTGAGTAGGTTCCTCTCGAAGTTGGCCGAGCGCGCTTTACCCCTCTTTAAAGTGCTACGTAAGGTCAATGGATTTGTGTGGGATGAGGAATGTCGAGCGGTTTTTGATGAGTTGAAGGAGTATTTGATGTCCCTAATCGTGCTGTCTAAACCTGAGCCCGGAGAAGAGCTTGATGTCTACTTAGCCGTATTCGATCGAGCTGTCAGTGCGGTGTTATGCCGGACAGATCCGGAGGGGGTGCAGCGACTGGTTTACTATGTGAGCCACACGCTCCATGGTCCCAAGCTCCGGTACTCCTGACTGGAAAAGGTTATCTATGCCTTGTATACAGCGGCAAAGAAGTTAACTCCCTATTTCCAAGGACAAGCCATACGTGTTTTGACAGACCAACCGATCGGAGCAGTCCTCCGCACCGCTTCCTCATCCGGACGCTTAGTCAAGTGGACGTTAATGTTGACACAATACGCTATAGACTACCGACCGCGACCAGCAACTAAAGGCCAGGCCTTGGTCGATTTTCTGGTCGAGTGCACCGCTCGGGGCCATGGACCCTTATCCCTAAACCAAACCCTTAGTCCTATAAGAAATAGAATTAGTAAATCCATATCATTCAGACCCTAATTAGGACTCCTAGATATATATAAGGACATAGGAGGCACCTAGAACTCACACCACAATAACTTTCACCACACGAGAATTTCCAAGAATTCCCATAGGAGAAATCAAGAAGAAGAGATCTTAAAGAAATACCCTTTATAGCCAAGGAATTTAATTAAGGCTAAGAGGTAACGCATGTCTCAACAAAACCTATTTTCTTTGTTATAATCTTCTTCCTTGGCTTCTTCTCTATGCTTGTGTCTTGATAAATCGTTTATGATGATGATGATATGATCTTGATGATTGATGAGATGATTTTATGTATTGATCTTGATAATCTTGATGATTATGGGAGAATCTTGATAATTGTGTGATGTTCTTGATAAATCTTGATGTTCTTGATTTTAAAGATAAGGTATGATTTTGTGATTTAAATATGATTAGAGCCCTAGGTTGAATCGTGAATTTCGTATTGTGATATTCTTGGTATATTTGGGTGGGAATTCGTATGATCGGGTGTTGATTATGTTTAGAAGTCATGTTAGGATGTGTTCAATGTGATTCGTGATTTTGATCCATTATTTGACTACGTCGTGTCGTCGTTTGCGTTTAAAAGTGTCTAAGTATGATTTCGGGTTCCATAAAAGATCCCGGGACCTAAGTATTGAAAAAGAGTTAGTGGGGGGTAGGGGGACCCGCCATATACCCGCTGCCCGAATTGACGTCGCCGGCAGCGGGCAGACGACTGCTCGCCGGG